TTTGGCTCTGTGCTTGAAATAATACCTCTGGCTGACACTGTGACCAAGTTGACTGCTCGATGTGAACTGTGTGGCAAACGAGCTTTCTTTACCCTGAGGAAGACAGAAGAGACACGAACCGAACTGATTGCCGGAGCTGATGTCTACATGCCTGTCTGTCGCCAACACTATGTCAATGGACAAGTTCTCGTGAAAGCTGCAAGAACTGTTGTGGAGTCTCATAAATTTAAGAGTGACACCTTTCCTGAAGTAGCTGCAGTTGTTTAGTAACAATAGTATATCTTTCACAGCCTATTATGTCTTTGGGTTTGCTATGTATTGTAATCAGGCAATGATTCAGCTTATTGCCTGCTTTTGTAATCTAAGCATGGGCGATTTGGACCTAACTTGGAGTGTACTTTGTTGCATATCCTTTCATTATGTTAATAGACTGAAGTTTGCTTTACAAAACCGCTTCTGTAGGTGTACTTATCAATCAAAATTTTAACAAGAAATCGTGTTATTTCTTACAAATTCCAAATTCTCTTTCTTGTGGGATCAATTTGTTAGCCTCCTTGAATTTTGCATTTGCTACTTGTTGAATATATGAACATGTAATTCTATGTGCTCATGGCTGCAAGAATGCACAAAAGCATTAAACTATTCATATATTGATGCCCTGGTTGTATGTGAATGAGCAAACCACTTTTTTCCAGGAAAATTTCACAATGAGCAATTATTCTCGCCTTGTATATGATCATTACTGGTTCTGATTTTCATACTTCTTTTGCTGATGAGTGTTCTGCTGCATTGGCTTGGGCCATGGGCTGGGGCCACCCCCTCTTTGGTTTTCTACTTCCAAACAAGGAAATCCGGCGGAAGATCTTCAATAATCGACTGGCATATTTTCTTTGTGAGGCGAAGTTCACAGAACCAATGCAACTTGTCACTTGTCCAAGAGGGTTACTCTTTTTGCTCATTGATCTACTTTCCTTACCATACGATTTCATGCTATATGCTGTGGTTGAAATTGCCTCTTTTTTCTTTGCAATGCTCTGCCATTGAAGGCTTCGCTTCAAGGACATGAGCTCTTGTTCAAGGTTCTGAATTCTGAAGCTTGTTGATTCATATTCCTTCCTTGATAACTCAGGTCTCTGATTTACATTGTCCTTTTGCAGTAAGAAGCTCAAGGGTCTGCTGCCTTGCTCTGCTCCATCTACATATGGACTATCTCCTAGATTCTGGCTTTTGGAGTTTGGGCATCTGGAGCTTGAGAGGCTCCCAGAAAACTCTCCACAGTGTACATATCTGAATGAATCTGAGCATTCTTTGAAAGCTTGGTGAGTGCTGATTTGCTGGACAAAAAGTGCCTGAACTATTAAACGTAGCGGCATCAATTCATTTTGCACAGCCTCAATGCATGCCTCTTGTGATAGTTTCTGGCAGTTGAGGTACTTGCAGACTGCCCACTTCTCTTCTTGGGATATATTTGGGTTTGCCTGAAGAACATAACATATGCTGGTATGAGAACTGACATCTCTGCTGACCAATTTGTTTGGGTTTTAATTCATGTTAGATTGTTTGAGTTGAAAATGTCTTTTTATTACATATTAACATATCATGTTTTTTTATCCTTTTTTTTTCTTCTTCTGTTAGTAATTAAGTGGATGCTATAAAACCACATTTTTGGCAGAGTATAGAGTTGATCATAAAGTACTTACCTGTAGGAAGGTGTTCGTTGCTCTGTAGAGTTTGTCATGACTGTGTCTGTAGGATATCGGCACTCTTTCGATGAGTTCCATGAATCTTTTAGGCTCCATATTTGGATCAGGAGCTATGTAGGAAAGATATGCATCCCACAATTCTGCAACAATAATTGAATGGCCTGCTGAAAGACTATGGTCTGACTCCATGTTAGATGATACATATGTTGAAATTATGCTCTCCATTGTAGCCAGCTCCATGCTAGAAGAAATTGACTCAGTTCCACTTTTTGGAAAGAGAAAGTCTTCTAGTTGGGCAAGGTGCAATATAAATACAATCTGCTCTTGCAACTTTGCCCTGCTATCGATTCTCAAACCTAATTCAAGGGATCTAGAAAGGATTGCAAAGTAAAACCCGACTGGAATTGATCGACTAGATTTCTCCCCCATGGGGAGCAAATCAAGAACACCTTGTAGGATGACTGAAACTTTGTGATCATCCCCAGTTTTCTGACCAGAGTTCTCCCAAAATTGGAGGGTCTTCTTTGAAAGCACCCATTTGTTAGCATAGAAAACAATGATGGGGCTTAAATATTTTTCTTTCATACCTTGTCTTCTTAAGGACCCTATAATCCTTTTAAAGAATCCAAATGGTAGAGCAATCAGATCCTTGATCCAAAGGTCCTGACTCATAATCTCCCTCCCTATCTCACAGCTCCAATTTCGGGTGCTCAATGCCTCTAATGTGAGCACTGGGGTGTCACGTCTTCTCTCTGGATCAAGGATCTCCATGCAAGCCATGAAGGCAAGGCACTCGATGCAGCGGCTGACGATGAGCAAATCTTCAGACCATGGAAGCAAAGTTTGGCACTTTTGGAGTACTATTAGAGTGTCATCCCAACTCTGCATGACCACTTGGTTTAAGTAGAGATCAAAGCGCTCGCAGAGGTTGCCAGAGCAGTAATCTTCTGTCATCTCAAGAAACTCTGCTGCACATCTCAGGGCTACAACATTGAATGGATCAATCAATGTGGAGGAGCCATAGATGAACAATGCAATCATCTCAAATGTCTCTGGCCCTCCAGGGAAGTCTGGTGGCAGCTCAAGCTCAGTTGATTCATTCAATCTTTTCTTGAAATACCCACTCTTTGAAAATAGTGGAAACTGAAGAAGAAGAAAAAATCAGTAAGTGTAAACATTAGGCCAACATTGGACAGTTACTTTCTTTATATCAAAAAAGGGTTGTAAGATTCAATCTCTGACCTTGTGGAGGTTGAAGATCTTCCCACGAACTCTAACGCTAACGGAAACAGGCAAACCGGTCTCTTGGGTCCTGAGACAAAGATTCAAAACTCAGAAACTCAAACAAGAGAGCTTAAAGTCAATGCTGCAAGTTGCTAACAAATGTAAATGAAATGACAGAGCCATGAGCCAACAATCTTACTTACCATGACAAAATCTTAATCTTGAGCAAGGCTCCAACGTTTGGTGAAGAGAAAGGACTTGATGAAACAGAACTACCTTTTAATGGGCTTGCAGCTTCCATTGGCAGAGCTCATAAGACTCTCTCAGACTGAGATTTACTGAAAGTGAAACTTTGAGAAAGCAATGGCAGTCGATTTTTCTCTAAGCATGGACATGTGCTTTATAACATAATCCTTTTTTGCCTGCCCAATTGCCATAAAATGCTCGGAAGTTGTCTCAATATTCAAAGAAAATTAAAATAGAGTATAGTATACAACTATACACACAAGGCTTCTAGAATTGGCAAACCAGTGGAATCAAATAGAAGAATGATTGAATTAAAAGAGGTGGTTTTTAAAATTTTAATCAAGACATTGTGTAACACACACATTCGTGCAGCTTAAATTTTTTTTTTCTAGTCAAAGTCAAATGCACACGAGTGAAACCCTCTCAATGTCCAAATTTTAAGGCTTCAAAAACGTTCTCGAGTGCTGAGCAGTTGAATTCTTGGTGCTACCAGTCACTAGAATATGGTAATTCTCCACTCCTTTCCATGTCATAGGCTTGCACAACAAGTTTTCTGTCTATGCATGTATGTGACCCAAACTAGAACCCCATCAAATTGAATGCAAATCCTAACCGTCCGATTGGACTTTCCTTTGGTACCCATTAATTAGATCAGTTCATTCATTTTCTCAATATATTGGTTTAGTTTCTCCCAATTGTGAGTTCAAATCTCACAGACGAACAGTTGTTGATCAGAAAGGTAAAAGAAAAAAAAGACCCCACAAATATGAGGAAGGCCATGTACCCATGAAAACTCAAGTTAGAAGAGGTGAGATGAAAAGTCATGGAGATTTGCAAAGGATGTGTTGGGAAATTGAAAAGGGAAGAATGAGGCAATGTAAATTGGTAAACTAGTTTAGAGGAAATGATTAAAATATGATAAAGGGAGAAGATGAAGTGCGGGCGAAGCTTCGTGTTTACATTTTATGTAGCATAACAAACACCCAAGACGGCACGGCTCCTGATTGTTGTCAATATTCTGGTGCTCGGGATGAAGGGGTCTTTGCTTGCTTTCTCCCAACAACCCCCAATCCCCAAAATTACTTTTACTTTGTATTTCCATGCAACTTTATACTTCATTATATTATATATAGTATATCTGTGTGTGTATATAATACTAAATACATAACGTGTTAGACAGTCAATCTGACCGTTCAATAGGTAAAATCATGTTTGAGTGTGCGGTCCTGATTACAATTGCGTGTATACAATTGTCGTCTAAACAAATATCTTATAGCATAGAGGAAGACAGCAAATTGTAATGGACTGAACTGAAGTACCAGCTAAGCTATGATCCTTTTAGCTCAAGCAATACATTCCCTTAAAAGCTGCAGATAAATATAATGGTTTTTTTATCCGTCAAGGGATCGCTGTAATATTATTCTCAATGAGAAGCTTTTATGTTTTTATTTTCATGAGATGCAAATTCTATGTGAAAACTCCGAAAATCTCAAGGGGTGTTAGTGTAAATAACTACGGGAAGTAAGGTACGCGCACACTCCACTGATTTTATTTTACCAATATGAGAGAGAGAGAACTATTGCTAAAGCAGTCTCATTGAATTTTTCATAATATTCTCATAATATTTTTGTTTTTAATACAAATTCAACTACACAGCATTACCAATATCTCCATTACTAAAATCTACATTACAGAGAGAGAGAGAGAGAGAGAGAGAGAGAGAGAGAGAGAGAGAGAAAGAGACCAACCAGGTCTTCGACATCATCATATTGGGCATAGTTTGGTTGAGCAGAAAAGGCTCTGTGATGGGAGAGAGAGCTTCCTCGGATCAGTTGTGATGGTTCAGAAATGAGAGCCAAACCCCTAGATCATCATCAAATGAGGTCTTGAAAAGATCATTAATGTCGAAAAGCCATCAGAGGATTAGTTCAATCTCTTCAATATTGGATTTGGATTCAGACAAGAAAGGGTCCTTGAGAAGATCAGAGGCAGTAGGTCTTGCCCTCGGTTGGGCTATGGATTTCTCAATGAACGCCCTCACCTCTGGATCAGTCACCTTGTTCAAGCCTTCAGGCTTAATACCGGCTGTGACCTTCTTGTATATCTTGACAACAGAATCACATTCACTGTATGGTATCTCCATTGTCACCATCTCCAGCAAGCACATCCCAAAGGAGTATATGTCCACCATCTCTGTGTAGTCCTCCTCGTATAGCTCAGGTGCCATATACTCAGGTGTCCCTATAATCGAATGTGCTGAATGGTTCTTACCAACTATTGCTGCAAATCCCAGATCACCAATTTTCACCTATAAATCAAATCCATAATGGTTCAGGCAGGGCCAGAAACTTATGAAAAGGTTCATGAAAAAAGGATAGACATGAATTAGGATATTGGATTTGCATTCCTATAATATTAGGAAATTATACATGAAGTGGGGATATAAATTCTAAATTTTGTAGTTCACACTAGATTTTCAACTCTTCAATCAAAACATGCAAGGCTCTTTTGGGGTTCAGAAAAATAGATGTACCCCAAATCACTAAGGACTATATGGTGATGCAGAGTAGAATGTAAATATAGAAATGCTGCACCATTACAAGAATAGGATGGAAAAGTCTGTTTAGTGGAAACATAGAGAAATCCAACCTCATCTTACTGGCATGCACTACTCAGATTCATTTTCCATCTGAACAAAATAGGTCTAAATAATTACCCCAAAACCCTCATCTAACTTTATCACTTCGTGTTCTTCAAGTTTACATGAAAACACTATCAAAGATTTGGATTGCATGACTGTAAAAATAAATTGCCATTGTTAGCTATATATATTAACTCTGATTTGGGAATAGCTTTCATTAGTCCAAACAGATTATAAAATTCATAATGACGAAAAAGAGAGCGACCCAATTTATGCTCACAGAAATCAGGAGAAACAAGTTGATACAACTTACGAGTTATAATTACCTGGCCAGTGTTCCCATTGATGAAGATGTTGCTGCAATTGAGATCTCTGTGAATGATGCATGGCTCATGTGTATGGAGGTATTCCAATCCCTCAAGCACCTGTCTTGACCACTTCTTCAAAGCCCTAATAGACACATGGCGATGCTTCTTCCTGTATTGCCTTAGGTTTCCAGATGTACACACCTCAGTGATGAAATTCAAAGTGTTGTGCGCCTCATCCTTCCAAACATTGTAACAAACAATGATATACTTGTTCTTCAATGTGCTCAATAGCTTTACCTCTGAGTAAAGCCGGTTCATGAGAGTTGGATCTTCACTGAAAGTCCTCAAGCGGACCTGATTCCAGGCCACCTCTGTACCTTCCTGCTGATCAAAAGCCCTATAAACCTTCTTCACAGCACCATGACCAAGGAGATCATCATACCGCCCAAACCGCCCAGTTGGATCAACCTCCACAAATGGCTCAGTATCTCGATCAGACGTGTTTGAGTTCTCAATTGGCATCTTCAAAGATCAATCTGATGAGGTAAAGAACCAGTTAAAGCTCTAAATAACTATACCCTTCACAAGGGACTTCGAATCATGAGACAATTCACCCTAACGGTCCAAACAGAAACAGAATAGAACACTAGTCCTACTGCTGTGATGCATGAGAACTAATTATCTCTAAATTTTCCAGCAAATGAGTAACAAATAAGAAAAAAAAGAGAGAAAATATCTGAATGAAGAAATGCAAATGCCATCCTACGTGTTCCGCAGAGAAACTTCATTTCTGATTATTATTATCACAACTTGAGTTTCAGCAGCAAAACTGAAGAAGGAATTTTAACCATCACTCTCTACACAGATACACACAGTCATACAACTATACTGCAAAATCATCAAAAGGTAATCAGAAAATTAAGCCAAAAAAGAACAGTTAGAAATTGTAAGGTGAAGAAAGAAGGCTCAACTGAATTTCAATATTAAGGTAAAGAAAGATAGCTCCAACTGAATCTTGATTCTTTTTAATTACAGAACTACGTTTTCAGTTACATAATTTCAGTCTCATTCATACACAATTATACATTCAGAAACAAACGGAGATAAACTATCAGAACAAAAAGAAACACAATTCAAGCACACAGTAAAACAGAAAACAAAATTACAAAAAAAAAAGAGAAAAAGAAGTCTTATTACTACAAAATTAAGCACTACGTAGTTGTGTGCGTGCGTATGTGTATGTATGAATGTAAACTGCCAAGAAACGCAGAGTTTTGAGAACTGTATAGCAAATTGAAGAAAATCAGAGCGAAAGAAGGAGAAGAAAGGCTGAAATTGAAGCGCTAATCATGCTGAAGATGAATTTAAATCCAATTCTTAGAAAGATCGTCAGAAACAGCAAATGCTAAATGCATCAAATAGATTCTTATGCATGCTAAGCAACGATTACAGGTCTTAATTTCTCATACATACATACATACATACATACATGTATGCATACATAACATACATACTACATGCACTTCAAGAAAGAGAGAAGAGAGAGAGAGAGTACCTTGAGATTCTTTGGTAAACGCGAATAACAGGGAAGCTCTGCGAAGCGAAGAGAGATAGTGAGAGAAAATGGTGGTGAAGGACGGCTCTATGTATAACTGCCGTGAAGCGGGGATCAGTTTCTACTAACGACGTCGTTTCGTAGATCGAATAACGACTTCGGCTTCGCTTTTTCTCAGCTGTTTTGTCCGGTCAAGTTTCTCAGCCGTTTCGTATCGAGAATATAAAGAAGGTTACGCTGTTAGAGATTTTATTCTTTCTTTTTCTTTTATTTTTGTTTATTTTATGTATTATTTTGGTTGCTTTTCCATTATGAGAAGAAAAATACTTTCCACATTTCAATAGAAACTACATTTCTGCCAATAACAATTTCATACGTGTGTAAATGTTTTTCTTTTTATATTTTTTATGAATTATTTTTATATATATGTCAAAATGTGATTTTCTGGAAGAGGGAATATCTCATTACGGCCTGTCAAACAAGTATTCAATTTGGTCAATTTGCAAATAATGTTCAAATTTGTTAAGCATTTTGGTAATTTTTTGAGCATTATTGTGCAGACATAGAAGAATCAGTTGGCATGTGAAGCTTGTGAAAGTATCCAACTGTAAAAGTCGATGGGTGGTCCATGAAGAAGTCGAAAACAAATCAAAGAGCTCTCATGATGGCCAAGCAGGCAGAGTAAGTAATAAAAGTAAAATGAAAGAAGTGGCCAAATTAAAAGAGCCTCCCTTACTGCTCAAACTTCACGTAGCACCCGTGCCAGAATCCAGCCAAGATTTTCCAAACACTGTATCTGACCTTTTAGAAGGACTCCGAGAGGCACGGATAGCAGATGCCAACTTCAGTCCATGCAAGTAAAATGATCTCTACTTTAATGACCAGTTCATAAAAGTTTGAAAGGTTGAGGCAGATTTAGGCAGCCAAGATTTGCAGGTCGATTTTTCGACGACAATGAGTGATTCTAATACAGTCCTCCAACTCCATATTAGATGAGAGGATTATGCATCCCCCAAAGACCAGCAAAACCTTATGAATCTATCTCTCTACAGAATGACCAGACAAAGTTCATATCCTCGACAGCATGATAAGACTCTGCTGCAATACTGAAATACAGCAAAACGTTGAATGACAAAACAAACAATCCACATCAACCAAAAGAATCATCCAGCAATGGTACCAAGATTTAATCCAACATTTTGAAACTACATCCGCTACCAAGTCATAACCCCACTAACAACAGTAGCTAGTTACCTTTCAGATTTTTGCTACTCAACAAGCAATAGTTCTCTGTATTATATTTTCCATCAGCGCTTAGGTAACTTTCCAAACACACATATGGATTGGAGCTTAATAACTTTGTGAAGAGGAACACGAGGAAATCGATACAACATATCACAATCTAAAACTGAAATACTGACAGAAGTTTGAACAAAACTTATATCCTAAATTTATTGCATTTCATATAAAAGACCTTCAATGGAACAAGTAGTGAAGTACGAAATCGAAACTGACATTGTTAAAAACAAGCATAGAAATCTAGAATATTTGGAGCTTGTTATAATAATCTTCCACTTATCAACATAAAGAGAAACAACTGAATTTTTACATATATGGTTAAAATACATAAGGCTTCTCCAGTGCCAAACAAAGCATTGATTCTAAACAAAGAAAACTCCTAATTACCAAGGAGGATTAGAGTCCACCCTTGGAGATGGTGATCTTGAAATGATACTAGCATCTCTTCCCAACCTTGACATACTCCTCCCACCTTTAGGTGTAGAAAACCCAGGACTTGTACCTCTGTAACTGGCACGAAGAGTTTCATCAACAGAAGATGAAGACTTGGCAATTGCATTCCTGACAAACTTCTGGGCAGCGGGAGATAGCGTCCGCACACTCGGACTGGCACTGCCACCTCTAGAGGGCGTTGGCAATGGTGGCTTCTGAAACATTTTTGACCTTTCCCTCAATTTGCGTGCAGCTTCCCTTGACAGTGAGTGAGCCTTTTCATCTCTTACAGGCGGGCACGGGATCCTATAATGAGGCCCTTCACCACCGCCAATATCAATCTGAGTGTCCTCCAGGTCCAACCTCAGGGGCGTCCCTTCAATTTCACCCCATGTAATAAATGGAGATTCATCAACACCCGGTGCTGGTGATGGTGTCCGCACAAAACTATAACCATTCTCCGCTTTCTTCCCAGATTCCACATAAAAAGGATTCGGGGTCTTCCTCAAATCATCCAAATCATACTTCTTAAACTTATCCCCATCCCTATCCATAATAACCGGGGTTGCACCTGCAACTGTGGTATAAAGAACCTCAGCCATACCATCCTCCTTTGGCCTAGAATCCAGCATCTTGCCATGCAATCGAGTATTGGCTCGACTAATCTCCTTCTCCAAACACTTCATCCTAACTGCCCGTTCCTCTGTTGTCAATGGGGCCTCACCGCGATCAGCTGGATGGTACATCAGCAAATTCTTTGCCGTAAACTTGCACCCTTCCAATGTAAACGGGGGCTGATCAGACGTCCCATACCCATCTGTAATCCTATCCCTCTTGGCATCCTCAATCGATTTAACATCCTCCTTTTCTCCTTCTGTCAAATACTCATATCTCTCCTTCCTCTTCCTATTCACCTTCTCCATAATATTTGAAAAACTCTGATTGTCCTCACTCGTATACCGCCTAAAAAACTGGTCGAGCGACAACGAGGCCTCTACCCCATCATCAGCCCCGTTAGACTCTACCTCACCAAACAATCCCATGTTTGAAACACCGGGAGTTTTCGGGGTTTTACCATCAAATTCATCGGCAGGGGTGAAACTACGCATAAAAGTCGAACCAGGGGTTCTACCATCAGGGTCAGGATTATGAGTTACCTTCTTGCCGCGGCGCTCAATGATCTTCAACTGGGCATCGCGGATCTGAACCGGGTCCCGGGTCTTGATCGCTTCGAGCCAGTCAAGGCGGTCCCGAAGCTTCGAGATATCGGGAAAGAAGTCCCTTTCGATGATCTTCTCGATCGCGGCGACATAGGTGTCTTCGTCGAGGACTGTGGGATGGCCTCTAGGGTTTCTGGAAGTGATTTGGGCGGAACTTCTTGGGGTTTGGACGGAAGTATCGGAAATTGCAGACGGTGAAGGGGATGAGAGGTGGCGAGGAGAGTGACCCGGAGTAAGAAGCATTCTTCTTGAGAATTGGGGTTACGATTTGTGATAGAATGAGAAGGTTAGATTGAAATTGAGGGTTTTGGCGAGAATTAAAGGACGAACTTTCCTTTTAGGTTTAGGGTTTGCTCTTTCCTCTCCGTGCCTGGATTGGAAATTGGAAATTGGGGGCTGATTTTGTCAAAAGGGACGAAACGCGTGCGAATCTGTGTGGCGGTGTATGTCCTAAATTGCGCCGACGGGCGTACGGTATTTCCGTGGAATAACAAGGAAAGAGGATGGAAATACATTTTTAACCCGCATGTTTAGTCAATAGTTGAGGTTTTAAATCAAGGCAATGGCTAAAAGGGTATTTTAACAATTAAAAACGTTTTTTCCGAAAAAATAAAACAATTATAAACGTTTTTTACAACCAAATTTTAAAAAGCTTCTAATTTATAAGAGCATCGGTGAGGATCATTTCAATTTTATTTCAATAAATTGAGCTTTGGACTTGCAGTAGTAAAGTTTAGTTCATTTTAGAACTATAAAATGAAATTCATTTCAATAAATTGCCCTACCATAATAACTCTATAGCCTTTTTCTTATTAACACATAGACAACATTACCTTTACTTTTTAATTTTTCCATTACATTTAATTTAAACTAGTGGTTAAGTTTTTATTTTATTTTATTTCAAAGTTTTCACTGATTTGTATACTAGCCTCTCTCTATGGAACGACTGAGGAAGAAAATTTGTGGTGGAAGAGTTGTGAGTAAAGAGTGTGTAGGAAAAAGAGTTTATAGTTGTATTAAGAATTTTGCTTGGTTTCAATGTGGTCAAGTCTTTGTTTTGGCAGGACTTGAAGAAAACAATAGGACGCGTGTTGTATTTAATTAACAATGTTATCTACAAACACTAGTGTAATGGTTTGGAGCAATTGCTTCCCCGAGAAAATATCATGGGTTAGAGTCCTTCATGCTCTAAGACAGTGTTAATGCTTTCTTCACAAAGCACATGAGCACTTCCAAGTGCTATATACCAAGTTCAAATTATTATGCTTAACCATATTTAGTTTTGCTTATTTATATTCAATTTTGTTATGCAATAACTTAAAAAAGAGGTGCTTTGATGTATTCTCATTTAATCTCAACTTCCAATCCTTCAGAAAAAAGTGTTAATATAATATTATCACCAACCAAAGAAAATTTTGTTACTAATTTTTTATAGTTTATATATATTTAAAATTAGTCTTTTTTAAAGAGATATTTGAAACCATTCTTATTGTAATTAACTTTATTCATTTTATTTTATTTGATTATTTAAAAAGATATAGTTTTTAATTTGTAAGCTATTGAACTGCACCACTGTAAGTGAAAGTGCAGTTCAGTTCAATAGCTGCCAAAAAAGTTCAATAAATTGAACTATTGAATTGAACTGAAATGAACCGTTGAGCAACCATTATGGATGCTCTAAAAACATTGTTAATGCTTTCTTCACAAAGCACATGAGCACTTCCAAGTTCAAATTATTATCTAAATTATTTTGATGTATAGAGAGGTGGATTGAACTCATGTGACACACTGTCTTGATCAATTGACTTAACTCATATATCCTCAAATAAAATCTTTCTCGTTAGGTCGTTGGCTGTGATAGTGAATCCGCCACCTTCCAACCAAATTCAAAATTCTCCCTCCATAAATCATATTAATTTTTAAAGTAATTTAAATTATGACTTGTATTAAAATAATAAATAATAATTAAATTAACGTCGTTAGAAAAGAAAATATAAAATTTGGCATCAAAGTGATTTTAAAATGGGCCAAGCGACACGGTTCTATTTACACACCGGAAATGGCGTTATCACGGTCCAAACCAAAGTCCAAGTCCAAGTCCGAGGAGAACCAGCCTATGGCCCGCATGCTTTCCGTGCTTAAAGATTCCAACGGCTTATAACCAATCAAAGCCCCAGACAACCAGGGAACAAAGATTCCTCTCTGCACCTCATCGCAGCCAGCAAATTTCTCCTCCCCCTCTTTCTCCCTTCATCGTATTACGGATTAGACTTTTGGAAAACCTCAGAGCTTCGACTCGTCGTCTCTCACTGCACCCAGCTCCTTACCTTCAGCTCAATCCCCAGCAACGGCTCTGATTCAATCTAAAGCCGGCGGCTTCACGTGGAATTGGAGCACCTGATCGCGAAATTTATAGGGTTTGTAATTTTGAGCTCCAAAATAGATTGTTTGCAGATGATTATTATAATTATTTGATTTACACTGTTTTTTATTTTTTTAAATATAATTGACCTGAGCTCAGGTGATTTGGTTTTTTTTTTTTTGTCATTAATTTTTTTTTTTTTTTGGATGTAGTTGTAGCTCTTAATTAGCATATGCTTTGTTTGGGTGATGAGAAAGTGTGAAAAATAGGGTAGCCGAGTCCTTGGATTTTCCATCTTTTTACTTTTAGTTACCTAAAACTTCTCCTGAACTGAGCTAGTACTAGTAGGATTGTTTGACTCAATAGTTAAATTCTTTAAAGCCATCAACTTTTTGTTTCTCCTTGACTGTGATGGAGGGTATATTCTAAAATTTACATTTCTGGGTAATTATTGAGTGGTAATTTTCTTCTTTTTTCCCCCCTAAGAGTAATAGATGGAACAAAAGATTTGAAATTTTGTTTATGGTGGTGTCTCATGCCTCTTTTTGCAAATTTGAAGGGTTTTTTTTCTTCTAAAAAGTGGCAAATTTTGAAATATAAGTACCAGTACTGCTTCTACTACTACTTTATTAATACGCTCAAACCAAATTGAAACAGTTTATATTCATGTATACACCCGAGCACCCACGCACAAATATGCATATATATGCACATCCATTCACATTGATAGGAGAGTCCGCTTTCATTAATTTTGTTTCCCCTGAAAACCATACAATTGTGCTGTTCATGATCTTTGTTCAAATAAAATTAGGTCTTGGGACATTACCTTATGACTGTTCTGATCTGTTCTGAAGCTAGGAAGTCCTGACCGCCATTCGTGTCCTTACTTTACATTATCAGAGTTGAACAACTTGTGGTATGTGCATCTTTTTGAGGCCGAGGTCAATTGTGATGATGGCACCGTGAGTTGAAGTGCAGGCTCTTCTGTATCTGATACAAGAATCAAGCTCACATGATTTCTCTAGGGGAACCTGGGACAGATAAAATTGCTTCTGATATAGTACCGAAGAAAGAGAGTTCAAATAGTGAAATTCATGCTCCACATCAAACTCCTGATAATGGGATCTGTCCCCTGCAATCAGATCATAGAGGAAATGTTGAGTCTCTAATACCTGAGAAATCGTTACAGCTGCCTGATGGTGTTGGTACTGCATCTCAATCAAATCAAGAAGGAAGTGTTTCCTCTTTAACATCTGAGAAAGCACCACAAACCCCTGAAACCTCTGCCCTTGTCTTGCGATCTGGTCAAGAAGGAAGCACTCCATCTACAGCACGAGAGAGAGGGTTAGAGGATGGTTATCACTGGAGGAAATACGGCCAGAAACTTGTTAAGGGAAATGCATATGTAAGAAGTTACTACAGATGTACGCATCCAAAATGTCCAGTGAAGAGGCAAGTGGAGCGCACACATAATGGGCAGATAACAGATACTGTTTACTTTGGTGAGCATGAACATCCCAAAGCTCAAGTTAGCGTCCCAGTAGCTGTTAGTTTTCTCGTGTCCATTGTCGAAGAAAGACCAGAAGAGCTTTTGTTAACTGGTGTCGAAGGTGAGAATGAAACTTAGTTATTATCTAGATCTGGTTACAGTACCCAATCTTGTTTGATTTTTATTTGATGACCTTGTATTTGAAGGCAAACCATCGGATGTGCATGGCCACACATCTAACCAGATTGAGCCAGTGGACCCCTCTCAGCTATCAACCGTTGCAGATAATGAAGGTGTGCAGAGAGTGCTCTCTCAATCAAATAGAACCAGAGATGGTGATCCAGACTCAAAAAGACAGTATGTTCATGCATTAGCTATTTTGGATTTTCGTGTGTAGTGGTATATACTATTCAACTTTTGTTTAACTGCCATTCTGGAAAAACAAAACAAAACAAAACAGGAAGAAGGAAAAACATAATGGCAACTCAATTCCGGTGGATAAGCCAGCTGGTGAACCGCGTGTTGTTGTTCAGACTATGAGTGAGGCTGATATAGTGAATGATGGTTACAGATGGCGCAAATATGGGCAGAAGTTAGTAAAAGGCAATCCAAATCCAAGGTACATATCAGTTTAATGGTAGCATGTATTAACTCTTTATATTAGGTGTGTACCTGAATTTTGCCACCCTGCTCATTGGTTTGGAAATATAATAATGTATAGATCATGGTTTTGATAGATTCACTGCTTATGCAGGCTAAGTTTACATTAAGAGTTTTGGCCTGTGAGCCTAATATTTCTGCTTGATATTTGCAAGCAAGGGGAAGGAAGAAAATTTTAAACGTAGTGATCATTGCAAGTTTGCAACTGCTTAGTAGCATCAAACTGCAACTGCAGCAATATGATAGTATCCGGTGGAAGTAATTTACATGCTTTATGACACCTCTGATCTGGACTAAGGACTTAATTGAGGATATGGTGCAAACCAACGTCTGTCGAAGTGCCTTAATAAAAAAAATTCATAAAAAACACACGTTCTGAGACTTTTGTGCCTCCATGGAACCATTTCCTATGCAGTAACTGCCTGGACCAAATAAGGCATTCTTTTCCTCCATCTAACTTGCATATACTTCTGTAGTCTTGTATCTTGCTTTGATGATAAATCGGAAGAAGTAGATCCGATTACTTCTTAGACAATAGGGCAACTGGGTAAATGATTCACTATGCATCTGTAAGCTTTGTTCAAACATGTCCTGCTTCTGGTTTTATTTAGTTTTGTCTTCCTTGGTATGTATCTTGGAGAAGGATGTGGACGAGATTTGTTTATGTTTTGAAAATTTGAAATTAATCTCTTTGGTATTAATTTTTCTGTCCTATTTTCTTTGGTGTAATTTTTTGCTGACTCTGCTCTGCTTCTGCACTTGCATTGCATAGGAGTTACTACAGATGCTCAAATCCTGGGTGCCCTGTTAAGAAACATGTAGAGAGGGCGTCTCATGATTCAAAAGTTGTTATAGCCACATATGAGGGGCAACATGATCATGATATGCCACCCACAAGGACTGTGACCCACAATGCATCAGCATCAAATGTGATTACGACGGCCCGTAATGGTGAGTCTGGCACTACATCAGAAGGGAATGCTGTCTGCCATGATACTAGCCCAGAACACGAAGATAA